TTTATTTTATTTTATTTTATTTTATTTTATTTTATTTTATTTTATTTAATTTAATTTAATTTAATTTAATTTTATTTTATTTTATTTTATATTATTTTATTATTATATTTTTTTAATTTTTGTAAATTTATTTATTCTTCTCTTAATCATTTGTTATGATTTCAAATGACCACCGTTTATTTATTGTGTTGTTGTTTGTTGAAGTTTTTTAATTTCCGTATATTTCGTAATTCCATTTTTGCTGCTATTTCGATTTGTCAGAAACAGTTGTCCGCATTTGCTTTGTCTGCTCCGCAACACCTGTTTTTCTATTGTTTTTTTGTTTTTTTTGTTTTGGTGGAGCTCGAGTTTATTGACATGTCCATTCTAATAAATAGTAGCTTCTATTTTAGAGTTCCTTACAACTTTTTTGACCTACATAACACCTAAAGCGGCTGGTTTATCTATTGTTTTCTATAAATGATATAAGTACTTTTGTTTTTCATTAACATGCATACATACATACATATTTAAAATTGAACTCAAATATTTTGCATATTGATGAGCGCACTGATTGTTTTGGTTCACTAAACTAATTGCTTTAATTTTTAGTCGCCGAGCTAAATTGGGAAAATGAATGAAAAAATAAGTTTTTGCATAAAAAAAACAAATGTGTTAAAAAAAGGAAAGGTTATTATTTTTTGAATAATAATAATATTTTGCTAAGTGCTGAGCTTCTCCTCCAATTTGTGGTGTGTGCCTTGACGTTGTTACACAAATAGAGCAACCTACAGTTTTACGCCACCTCTGAATGGAAAATGGGTTTTATGTGAATCGTTTTCATGGCTGAGTACACTCGGAAGCAGTGTTGCCATTGTGCGACTAAAGGGGCAATTTGACCCTTTTTAAGCGCCAATACCCTTTGACCCGACTTTTTGAAAATTTGTATCTTTTGATCCTTTTCCAAAATCATGTGCGACTTTTGCCCTTTTTCAGAGATTTTCTTAGGAAATGATAACCATGCAATTAAAAAATATTCCCTCCTAAAAGTACTAAAAACTGCATCACTTAAAAATTTTAAAAGAAATGTAATTCTTCTAGCAGCAACTAGATTTATGTGTATGTTTGCAACCCTGTTTTATGCAACGCCGCTATTTTCTTATTAAATTCAACAGATTTACCGCCCAATTCTTAATACTCCCGGGGAGTTTGTCCTCCGGGAATTGGTTTCTCCCCAGAAAGAAATCCTCCAATAGAAGGAAATTCTAACTTCGAAAAAGCTGTTTGACACTTATTTGAGAGCTCAACTCTGCCATTTAAAATAAAAAAGGAAATTTTTATTCATGATAGGAGGAAGGGGAAAAGGGAGAAAACTCCCAGAGAGTTTCTGTTCGGAATCAGCCCGTTATTCTCTTGCTAGTAAAGAAAAGCAAAAATAATATCGTGCCCTAACCGCCAAAATAACGTAAGCGACATTTTTTTCAAAATTTTCTTTTTGATGCAGAAATATTCCTAGACTCTAGGACCTAGAGCATCTAGATACATTTCTGCATTAAAAAGAAAATTTTGAAAAAATGTCGCTTACGTTATTTTGGCGGTTAGGGCTCGATATGGTGACCCTTTTTTTCGACAATGACCCCTTTTTTGCGACTTTCTGAAAATTATCAACGGCAACACTGCTCGGAAGTTTGCTATAGTCTACCGGGGGCGACCGTTGTTAGAAGAAACTTTTTCTAAATTAGATGCTGTTCGGACCCACACAGTTTGTCTTGGTGAATTTCGATAAATCTGGCGCATAGATTCGGCTGGATCGCTCAAATCCAGTCCTTCCACCTAATGGGTAACTTTGCCATGTACCACAGAAAGGCTTCAAGGACCACATAGGCTCGGATCTCGCGAGTGTATTAGCCTCTTTGTTGCAATTAATGCTACCACAAAGTAACCTTGTTACGTGTTGCCAGTTTGCCCAGCATCTTTTTTGCAACTGCTTGCTAGCCTTGACATCGTTTTGCGTCAGTCCGAGACTTTTGATGCTGTTAGTCCTTCTACGAAAGCATTCGCGGGCACAGATTTTAACTGGGAAAATTTTCGCCCTTGTCCCACGACAAAATTTTTCCGCTCTTTTATTTACTGAACAGCTTCAACATGTAAGGTTAGTAGTATTTTGATTTAAAAGCTTTCCAGCTGATATTTGCTTTAGAAATGACTAGCAGTTCCTAATAAATAATTGTTGTCACTTAACTCTGAAGACGTTGAGAGAAGGTTGCGCGTATTTTATTAACCCAGAAGTTTACTTGAAATTCAATGGAATGCAGCTTTACGCAAGCGTGACAATGCAAAACCATATATTATTTCAGAATACTTCGAGTAATCCCCGAATAAGCAGATTACCGCCTCAACTTAACATAATGAACGACTGCTACTTATACATACATACTTCGATGCAAAAGCAGCATGCACGCCGCATACATATTCTTACCTGATGAAATACACCACGAATTGCCGCCTTCTCATCCGGCACCGCTGACAGATACGACGCGATCGATGAAAGATGTGAAAGTCGACGTTGCGACGTGTAATGTGGTTGAGAATGTGGGTGATGCACTTGTTGATTATTAAGGTGATTATGTTGTTGTAATTGTAGTACGGCTTGTTCATGTTGATAATGTTGGGTTTGCTGTCGAGCCTTATCGGTCGACGGAACAATCTCATATTTGTGCTTGTGCGCCGCAAACTTACTATACTCGTCTAGGCGTTCTCTGCAAAACAAAAACAAAAGAAAGTAAAATTAAAAATAAAGTAAATATGCATTCATAAAAGAAAGTATACGCACTAATTAAAAGTGCAAATACTATGACAAAGTTCTTAAACAGTCTCACTGCCAGCCAGTGTCTAATGTCTAGGGAATTTTGTGTGGAAAACAAAAAGAAAAATATGTATTTGTATTTGCTTTAATTGGTTCAGCCATTAGACTTTTTTTTATATGGAGTATGGAAGGCTTATGGGCTTGACGACATTTTTAATTAATTTTTGCAATGCAAAATCTACGTACATGTGTATGCAGGTATTTACATATGTATGTTTGTACATGGTTCAAGCAAACACAAAGCAGTCTCATATTTATGTTTTTTTTTTTGCAATTCGCTAATCGTCCATTAATTAATTTGCAATTGCCTTCCAAGTTCAAGTTGTGCGTGTATGTTTCTTGTGTATATTTGCAGCTCATTCAATTGCTCATTAAAATGCTTGCAAATTATGCAAACATAAAGAAGAATCTACAAGCAAAAACTAAAAATAAATTTATAAACAATACACTGAGCTGGTATTTGTTAAAGTAAACAAAAAATTAGTGCGGACCCACTAAAGTTTGGCGATAAGAACAAAATGCACATTTGCTTAACTGCTTAGAGCGATGTTTGCTAAGAGGGCCGAGTAAAAAAAGGTCTTGCTGTAGAATGCCGGGTCGCTGTCGCAGCACAAATTGCCAAAACTAAATGCTTCCATATTAATTGCTTCTTTTTCGGATCGCCTATAAAATTGAATTGGTTAATTACCAAAAGGAATAAGCCGGCATTTTTCTAATACGGCAAATTTGATGCATTTCATTAGAGCGCTTTTGCACGAACTGAACTGCATCAAAATTGCCATATCGAAATAATGCTGACGTATTTCATTTGGCAATTAACCATTTGAATTCATAAAGACTTTTTGACCAACTTTTCCAGTTTGAATCACCTAACTGCCATACCTCAACAAAAGCGTCAGCGTTGTTTGGCTGTCAAAAAATTCTCGTGCCCTTACAATTTGTATGAAGCATACCGAAACAATGCGGCGTCAACGATGAGCGGTTGAAAAATCCGATTTTGACAGCACGTTAGGTAATGAAGTTGGCTGCAGAAAACGGCGAAACTGTAATTTTCGTGCTACACACAATCAAGGCGTCAGAAACCGCTCAGTCCAATGCTTTTGTATATTTAGGTATGGCAGTAACCCATATTTATTCGCAGTAAGTAATTGATTTCTTCTCTTCCTCTTCCTACATCCTTTTCCTCCTTCTTTTCTCTACTTGATCATGTTCTTAAAAGTTTTGCTGTTCGTTTTTAGTTATTATATAAAGAGCTTTTTCAAAATATAGCAATTGTAGAAAGCAAATGTTTTATCAGAGATTTTTACAACAATTCGACCAGAGTTGTGGTTGCTTTGTGTTTCGACTAGCCTCGTTTTATCCAGAACATGATATGAGCTTCAAGCTGAGATTACCTGTACACATATTCAGAGAATTAACTATTCGCTGGAGCTTTTTAAACCTTTTTCCATTATTTCCAGAGCTTGTTTTGAGCTTTCTGTACATCTGGTGCATAGCCACGTGCGGAGTAGAAGCTTTCTCTTATGTAAGTGATGATCAGAAAGAACTTCTACTACGTGTACGTCTAAATAAAATATATAGAAAGCTTGAAAAAGCTTCAGCCGCCGTCAGTCTATTAATTAAATTATTTAATTAAATTAATAAGTCTATTAATTTTTCAAAGAAATATTGTTTATAGTTGAGTGACGGTCAAATACAGCTTTAACTTTACAAACGTTCAAATATTATACATAGAAAGTTTTCAAAGCTTGTCCCCGTCGATACAATTTGAAATAAGTGGAAAACTATAGAAAACTTTAAAAAGCTTCTCCCGCGGTATATGTTTCGATTGTGATTTTTTTAAGGGGAAAAGTGAAGAGTAAAAGCTCTGCATAGTTCCATTGTACTAGCGCGTATCATTTTGACACTTCTTAGGAAAAAAAAAATTTGTGTCAAGTCGGTTAACGAGAGAACCTGAAAAAGCCAAAAGGATTTCAACTATGGAAATTTAAGATAATTTTACACTTAAGAACAATAATCCTTACTTCCTGCAGAACTAAAGACTTGTACTCATTCATTCTTCATAGTGATACTTACACATGCAACTACAGACTTAAAACGCATAAAAATACGCGTACATTAAAACCGGCATATTGTTTTGTCTAATGCTGAATTTCCACTAGGCATTAAATGGCAAAATTTTGAATGACCATGTAGGGCATTAAAATATGTCTGTTTCCAAATGGCATACATTTTAATGCATTTCAACGCATAAATAAAATCTTCGAAAGTACACACCTTTGCAAATACTACATTTGATTTTTTATTGGTCTGGTTTTTTTCCATTTCTGATTTCCAGTTAAACTACTTAAAGGTGAAATCGAATGGTACGATCGCAAACTTTGTACTCTATCGGCGAATTGCTATTCAAATTTTTCGATTTATATGTACTAGTACATGCATTAAAGCAATGAACTAATTGAAAGTGTGAAGGCAAGCAATAAGTAGTGGTGATTCATTCCTCGAATTTTGATCATAAATCATTTTTATTATTATTATTTTACTTAATTTATTTACTTTCTCATCATTTGCATATTTTTTTTTAATCCCTGTTGTAGCTCTTGTTGATAAACTAATGTCATTGAGGAACATTATTAACACTAAACTTTCACCGAACTTCTCTTCCGCAATACGGAAGAATGAACTTTTTCTAATCGTTGAGAAAAAAATTTTAAATAATACTTAAGTAGGTCAAAGCTTTTGATAAGGATGGCTTTTATAGACTTAAAGTTAATGAAACATGCGAGAAATGTAGCAAAAAGTCGAAGAAAACTTCCAACTTTAGTATGGCTAGTACTTATAATAAAATCTGCGCAATAGGCGAGCAAAGCCGAAAGTTCGGCCTCTCTCGGCAATGGCAGTTTCACATGGGACCATTGACTGCCTGCCATATGGCCGCTAGACTCGGAGCCTCGTATAATGATTTCTGTGGAAGCTGTTGAGGAGAGGTAGAGTAAGAATACTTTCAGCATGACCTCTGCGCTTCAAATTGCTGGAAGGGTCCTATAGGGGTTCCTGAAACAGATCAGGAACAACTTCATTAGATTGTCGTTTGCCGGAAAGGCTGTAAATGACTGAAATGGTGTACTATATATACGAACTAATCCTTACGGTATATATATTACCGAGTAGAGAGCTAAACATCTACATACTCTGATAGCCAAATGACAATAAGGGCTCTAGCATCGCTCATGATGCGATCGAAACCGGTCGGGGTATGCTTGACCTCTCAATCGATCGCCTCGGATTGCTTCCAAATCAAGCTGACTTGAGTTCCAGGATACAGTTATATTGCAGGAAACTGCATGCCTGCTAAATTGACTACGCAGGGCACCCTTGGAGTCATCTCGCCTCGAATGGTTTATAGTCAGATCAGTAGGCGAAGATCCTGACGCGCAAAGTCCTTCTGGCCGGTAGTCTACCGCGAGGGGTCAAATGGGCTTCTACAGCTGACTAAGCGCTAATTCTAAGTTTTAGAGATCTTCTGGCCCGGGTGCTGAGTATTAGTTAGCCACGTTGTGCGGCTTAATGTTGTGTTTCAGACCTTTATTGACGTAGCTGTTTGCACGATGACCAGGTGAAAGCGTTTCAGTATTTTTTCGCAGTTGCCTTTGTTTCGCTGGACTAGGGATTAAACATCTTGGCGCGTATTTCATCAACACTCAAGCGGAACTGGCGGATACCAGCTGCTTTGCGAAATTTTATTTCGAGCAACCAGTTTATTTCGTAAAATATTCATAGTTTTCACTTCAGGAAGAATCTGTTAAACGATTACACAGTAGACAACGTAAGAAATGTGAAAGTGATCCCCTCGTAGGGCTGCCACCTAACCTAACCTTAACCAATTACTTTTTAAAGAGAATTGTGCAGTTTTGTTGAAATATGCAAACATCTAGGGTCTTTATACTTTTCATACAGGTAAAATAACCGAGTGCCTATTAAACTGTTTTCAAATAAATTTTAAGTTACCCGCTTCAGTACCTTTCCAACTGCCTTTTGACTAATTTCAATAACTTAAGTTCAAGTTGTATATGTGTTCAGTAATTTTTTCTAAAATTTCAGGAAGTAATAAAACGTATTTCATGCTCGCAATAAAATCTATATCAATGCGAAATTTCGCAACCAAACATACTACACCTATGCGTTTTACCACATAGTAACAGCATAAGCCTAAAGCCGATGTGAAAAGTCGATGTGATAAGATTTCGGTAATTGATATTTAGTCACTATGGGCGCAAACATTTCCATCCTCTTCTGTGTTTAACCGGAGAGTGCGAATACATCAAAATATGAAGTCTTATCACATATGCTTCATTGATTCAATGTGGTTTGTCGCATTTGCCCCATTAGCAACTAATTAGAAGATAACGGTTGTAAACAATAATTAATTTGTTGGGTCATTGGTGACTCTACGGTTTGAAGAGCTTTTACGACAATATTACGAAATCAAAGTGAAGTAAATAATTAAGGAATTGGACTTTGAATTAGCTACGAAAGATACGCTGGACAAGTAACTGTCGGCAGAGAAATTATAGGCAAGTAGGTAGGTAGACAAGAAGTATAGGCGGAAATACACTACCTGTTAGATTCACTAATCTTTTCAACACTCTTGTTTACTAATTAATCACCCAGAAAATACATCACGCATTACTAGGTATTGTAAAATTTAGTTTATTTGCAAAGTTTGTGTTATCGCTTTCATTATAGGCTGCTCAGGTTTGCCTGATAAGAGCACGTGCAATTTTTAGTATTACTTTCGAAGATTTGCAGCCAATTGGCAATACTGTACCTTGCTAGACACCTAATATTTGCTGTATAAGTATGTACATTAGAACGTATCAGAACAAAAAATTC